CGTTCAGACTGTCATAAAAAAATCGGATATGAGTCAGATGGGTCAAAAAAATCGGATTTGTCTCGTTCAGACTGTCATAAAAAAATCGGATATGAGTCAGATGGGTCAAAAAAATCGGATTTGTCTCGTTCAGACTGTCATAAAAAAATCGGATATGAGTCAGATGGGTCAAAAAAATCGGATTTGTCTCGTTCAGACTGTCATAAAAAAATCGGATATGAGTCAGATGGGTCAAAAAAATCGGATTTGGGTCTGATTCGCCTGCAGTGGAACGTAGCCTAAGTCTATAGCAGCAGAAATGAAGAATAATTCAGGAAACCTAAGTCTAACTATATGATTTATCAAAAAGGAACGTCTTCAGTCTAATCTTAAAAGTAGACAGAGTGTCAGCCTCACAGACAGAAACTGGAAGTTGGTTCCACAAGAGAGGAGCTTGATAACTGAAAGCTCTGCCTCCCATTCTACTTTTAGAAACTCCAGGAACCACAAGTAAACCTGCAGTCTGAGAGTGAAGTGCTCTGTTATGAAAATATGGAACAATAAGATGTTTGATTTAAGATGGAGCTTGGTTGTTGAGAGCTTTGCATGTTAGAAGTGAGATTTTAAATTCTGTTCTGAATTTGACAGGGAGCCAGTGGAGAGAGGTCTGTAGCTTCCTTAAATCTACAGCTAACAAGGAAAAGTTAATGTGATGGAAGCAAAGAGTCGTCCTCGACACTTTGAGCATTAATGCATCAGAGATGCAGCTGTGGCGTCCATCTTTAAATAAAACTTTGTCATAAAAGGCGATGGGACAGCATTTGTCTCAAATTAGAAATGCATTCACTTTATTCCCTTTGATCTTATTTTATACTAGTTTACATTTCTAGAATACCCCTGGCTTCTGATTGGTCAGCTGCCAAAGTCGATGAGACAAGTGCATGCCAGAACCATGTACAACTATTCACATACTTCAAGGGCTGATAAAAAGTTTTAAAATACTTCTAAAAATAAATAAAAGGAGGCTCCTTCCCTTTTTTGTCAGTCTGTCTCCCCTCTGACTCACAGGTGGCCACATCCGAGCATCKCCTTCACCTCCGTAGATTTACTGAAACGTTTGTCACAAGAAACCTGCTCAAAGGATGATGACTCTTTCACGCTTTGACTTGCAGAGACGTCTGTGTTTGACGGCGAGCGGCATTTGATCAAACAGTCCCCAAGTCTTGTATTTGGAAAGACGTCACTGATTGAGCTTTCTGGATAATCACTGTTTGCTGCGTTTTGGCTGTGATTTCCCTCCCGGAGGCAGACAAATTAGTCACGCTTCATAGGAACATTTATATTGGTTGGGTTGCAGGGATTATTGACGGGATCAAGAGCTCTTAATGAATCACAGAAGATAAACTCACCTAAAGCCGTTTTATCCAAGAAAAGAAGCAGCTCGGCGACGTGTTACTGTCAGTGATTTCGTTTATTGAACATGCTCGCAAATAAGATGAAATTATTATTTCTCTGTCCTGTCTTGTCTCTCTGCAGCAACAGGAGACTCTTCAACTTCACTGATATATGTAATTATTCAGAATTATTTTAAATACCAATGAAGGAGGAATCCTGAGGATCCAGTTTTAATGGGACAATAAAATCGAACCACAAAAAGGGATTTATTTTCCTTTTTTTTTTTAATGATGCGGGCTCAGTTTACTGCTGCCAAGCTCCGAGGAACTCGTAAACAAATTCGCACCTCTTGTATTTAAATACCGGGTTAAGTTATGGCGTAGAATTGAAACAGATAAAACAAACAGAGGAGAACATGAATATGAATAGTGTCTGGGAGGAGGAGGTCAATCCACAAACATTAAGACGCAGTTTCACTCATCCTAACAAGATCACTTTAATGAAAACTAAGCAGGTTGATGTAAAAATATATATTTTTTCATGCGTAAAAAGGTTTTAATTCAAATTTAATAGTTTCCTTTTTAAGTGAGTTAAATAAAAACTAAAAAAAAAAATAAGATAAATAAAATGT